CCCCCCCCCCCCCCCCCCCGCGGTACTCGCCTTCGCGATGCCCCTGCCCAAACGCTCTTCTTGCGTGCTTGCAACTCCTGGAATCGGATGGTGCTGCTGTTGACGGGAATGATGGTGATGGTGAACCAACAACCAATGAGAACGCAGTGAAAATCGCGAGGCTGTACCTGCTGTCGGACATCCTGCACAACAGCTCGGCCCCCGTGAAGAAAGCCTCCTCGTACAGAACACACCTACAGAAGGGGCTACCGGAGGTGAGAAAAGACACACACAGAGAGACAGAGACAGAGACAGAGACAGGCCGAGACAGAGACAAGAGAGGGCGGGGGGGACAAAGAGAGGCAGAGAGAGAGAAGAGACAGGGACAAAGACAGAAAGAGAGACAAGCAGAGAGACGGGGGCGGAAGGAAAGTCGTGCACCCACGCGCTCCTTGTCTTAGGAAGATAGCGTGCCCTTGGTACATAGTTTGTGACTGCTGTGGTGGCCTTCGTGTATGAGAGTCGTGTTGGCTGTCTACGGTGTTTCGGCTACGCGTAAGGATGCTTGTTTTGGTCTAGATGGTACCATATGGTGATATCTCGAACGACTATTATGATAGGGACCCCATCCGGTATCTTTGCTGGCATTCTTTTCCCTTGTGTGCCTTGGTCATGTTGTCGTGCTGCCCTTCGGCACTTCAGGACAGCGAAAGAAATGCCGGGGAAATGTGAAAGGACAGAGGCGTTGTATCATGCACGATATAGCTCTTACGGTTGTTGTCTCGTAGGCCGGTCGGTCGATCATACGCAACGAGAAGACCACGACCGGCCGGCCGGGTGGCTGGCTGCAAACGAACAAATTCAGAATTCACCGAAACGGTTTGTGCTTTTTTCCCGTTCGTTCCCGTCGCGTTTGTTGAACGAATCACAACTCTGTGTTGTCTAGATTTTCGACGGGCTGAATGAAGCGTTCCGCGGTGTGGAGGGGCGAATGACTGCGAAGCAGGTGGAAGACAGGTCAGCTTTTGGATTTTTTTGACGTGGTTCTTTTTTCATGTCGATTTGTTTGGATGTGACTTGTGTTCTTCATTTTGTTGAGTTTTTTTTTTTTTTTGGTTCAAACCACATGTAATAGATATTGTTTGTTTGTTTGTTTGTTTGTTTGTTTGCATTTTATTTTTTCGCCAGTATTAGGCAAAAGAACGGCGCTCGAAGAGGAAAGCCCGCTGGTCTCCTCTCTGTGCGGTGTAGCACGGTTGTTGCTGCTGCTTGCTTTTCGTACCCTTCTTGCTCTACACGCGCACCGCACACACACACGACCCATCCGACCGGACTGTTGGTGTTGTTTGTCGTTTGTCGTTAATAGTACTTTTTATTTTCTCCTCCTGCCTTTTTTTGTTCTGGTCTGCCTCCTGGGATATATTCGTTCAAAACAAACAATAAACAGGATCATGGCGCTGCTGGCGGCGTGGGACAACTGGTCCATCTACCCCCCGCTGTACATCACCGGCCTCGAGGCGTCCTTCATGCGCAAGTCTGGGGACCTCGAAGCGAAGGACCTCACCGGCGTGGAGGAATCGTCCCTCGACAAAGAAGCCTTGGCTCAGAAGGCTAATCAGGTATGTTCTGAGAGATGCGGTGGTCCATATATTTTTTGTTGCTGGGATGTTTTTTTTTTTTTTGTGGTGTCGTTGTCACCTGTATGTATTCGTCCCTTTTCTCCACCTCGCATGCGCGTTTCGATCAAGCATAGGTACAGTATGGCGATAATTTAAGGGTTTGAGTACCCGTTGTCCCCACTCCTCCAAAACACCAGCAAGCGTTGGAACATCCCTGCATCCCCCTTAAGACTCTTACTTGCGGTGAGCAGTTTCCACTCAGCGATTTGTTCGGGTATATTTTTAGCAGATTGCCAAAAGAGGAACAGCAGTTGACATAATCATCCACCCTAGCGAGACTTGGTGCAAAACACTCCGTGGGACGTTCTTAAGTGTTGATCGTTGTCGTTCATTTTAAGTGTTTTTTTACTTGAACGGTCGTCACGGGTGGGCTGGCTGTTCGTGTTGCTCTCGGTGTTTGTTTATCCTCTGCAGGCTGGAATCCACACGGAGGGCCTCTCCGCTCTGGACCTCCTCAAGCGGCTCAACTACCTCAACGAGTACGCCAAGCGCAAGGCGGCGAGAAAAGCGGGTGGTACCGCCGCCGCTGCCGGTGGTGCTGGCGCGGGGAGTGCCGGTGGCAGCGGCAGCGCGGGCGGTCGGGCGGAAGACGAAGGCAGTGGTGGAGACGAAGACGACGATGATGATGAGGACCTGGATGGAGTACCGCTGGACGAGGCGTCTGCTGCTGCTGCTGCTGCGGCGGCGGCGGCGGCGGCGGCCGCAGGAAACACCGGCGGTAAGCACGGTGCCGGCGGCGACCTCGGCAGCAGGAGGGTTCCCGCTCCGGCTTCCGGCAGTGCTGCGGGCGGCGGAGCTGGCGGTGGCGGCAGGAGCCAGTGGAAGCCCGTCAAGGCTAACCTCGGCAACCCGAGCTCGTCGTCTTCCGATGACGACGAAGACGTCGATGGCGTTCCTCTCGACGCCGCCGCCGCCGCCATCGCCGGGGTCAAGACCACCAGCGGCGGCTCGGCAACGACGATGACGATCTCCGCCCCTACTGCTAGGGGGTTGGCCTCCCCCGAGCGGGGTGGAGGGGCCATGTCCCCGCCCCCGCCCATGTCCCCGCCGCCGGCCGCGGCGGCGGGACGAGGCTTGTCGCGCTCGAAGGCGGCCGGCCTGCCTCCGCCCGCCGCGGTCATGAAACGGCCGCCGCCGCCAACAGCTGCAGCAGCCAAGATCGCCTCCTCCTCCGGGAGTGGGTCCGTCTCGGGGCTGGCGAGAAGCGGCAGCGGTGACGCTACTGCTAAGGCGGCGGCGAGGACGTCTTCTTCCCCCCCAGCTGCTGCTCAGACCCTCGCTAAGGGTAAGGGGACCGGCGGCGGCGGTGGCGGCGGGGAGCGCGGGGGGTCCAGCGACTCCTCCGACGACTCTGACGGGGAGGGGGCAGGGCCCGGAAAGATTGATGTCTGGGGGGATGAGATGGGGGACAAGGGCGGCGGCGGGGCCGGTCAGGCCGAGGGGGGCGCAGGCGCGGGCGCAGCGGCTGGGGAAAGCGGTAAAGGAGGGGCAGGCGGGGCCGGGGGGGATGCTGCGCCGAAGATGACGGAGAAGGAGCAGGCGAGTCGGGTTGGTTTTATGTTATTTGCGATTACAAGGCAGTCGCTGTTGTATTTGTGCCGATGCTGTTGCTGCTGCTGCCGCCGCTTGATTTGTCGTTGTCGTTGGTTTGACGTCAGTTTTGGTGTTGATAGACTTTGTCGGGGTCGGTTTTAAGTCCTCTGCTGTTTTTGCTCTCGAAGTGCCGCGTGGCAACAGACTTGACACCTTCTTAGTCTGATGGTCTTGTACTCGTCCTCTTTGCGCGGTGTCGCATGATAGTTGTGGTTGGTTCTCCTCGTGGCGCATGACATGACTGCGACCAATCACGGCCAAGAGCCGACGGTCAAGCCACGCTTTTTTCCCGTCCCCTCTCACCTGCCCCCCCCCCCACGATAGTCTTGAGCGCCCCGTCACGGCTGTGCACAATTGTGAAGGAAGCTCACGGCCCCATGTATTTGATCTTGAATAACCCCGTACACCACGTACCCTCGTCTCTCTTCTGCTCCTTTTTTTCTATCCGTGGGGTTTGTTGGTCCTCTTGTTGTTGGCCCGACTGACCAATCAGCGCATGGAGCGGAACGTTCTTCGCAAGGTGGAGACGGAGGTGCTGAAGCTGAGAGATGACTTGGAGGCGAAGGGTACCCCAGAGGTGATTGATTTGTCTACCTTCCTGCTTTGCAGCTGCTGCTGCCGCTGCTGCTGCTGCTGTTGCTGTTGTTGTTGTTGCCGCTGCTGCTGTTTCTGGGCGGTTCTGGGTCGTATTCTACCGCTTCGGTGTTGTCGGTGCCGCCCACCCACGTTTTACGATGCCTGAGAAATCCACAAGAACAACTCCTTCCGTTTGCTCACGAGGACAACAATGGTGTTATTTTCAATGTTCGACCTTGACTATGTACCCCGAAAGCCTTGCTTGATCCACGCAAGACCCTTGTGCTTGCTTAAGCCTTCGGCGACTGCTGGTGTGTGCTGACGAGCTAACAGTCCCCCTCCCGCACCCCAATCGCGCCGGTGCAGGAGCAAATAAAGTCCCGGTGCGCGGCGAAGCGGGCAGAGATGATGGACACTTGGGAGAAGAACAAGGTCACCCTGAAGCGGTGAGATTTTTGTGCTCGCGCTTCTTTATCCCTTTGCACTTCGACGAAGTCGTGTACTCGCCCGTCTCGCCGTCCGAGACGAGTGCGTGCTCGATTGCCAAATGACAACCCCCCCAATCCAGTAGAGTACAGACCGGTCGCCCCAGTGGTCTAGTGGGTAGCTTCGCAGCCTGCTACGGGCCAGGTCATGGGTTCGAGTCCCGGCAGAGAAAGTTTTTTTCTCACGAAATAAATCCTGGTCTAGGATGAAAGCAACGCGTTGCAAAGCTCGTTGTTAGTAAACCATAATCGACTTCGTAAGTCGCGAGGGAAGGGATTGCTGTACCCTTCTCGCGATAAAAATACCTCAGGCAGGAACCGCAGGAGGGGTCCAGCCCCCCCCTCCTATGTGACCCCGGTTGGGTCGTCTAGCTAGTAGAAGTGGAGGATAGGGGCCAGAGGGGCAGATGACAGAGTCCAATGACGGGAGAAAAAAAAAAGATGCTAGTGGGGGTTGAGGAGCCTGCAATAATGGACCAGTACACATGACTCGGAGTAGAGATCGCAAAAGACTGTTCGTGGAATGCACACAAGTCCAAGGTAGCGGAAAAGGGCGAGGCACGAGTAGGGAAGCTGCAACCAGTACGCGCAAACCGGCACCTCGATACACGCATCATATTGAAGGTTTTGAAGAGCGTAATTTTACGCCGCCAGTTGACGCCGGAGAGGTTTTGTGGGAAGGAAATAAAAAGGTAGTCAAAGAGCTCGAGGCGGCGCAGATGAAAACAGCGAAACTCATCATAGAATGCGCCAAGCGCACAAGTAATGCAGCTGTCAAGGCAGAACTGGGGATCCAACCCCTACGATCGGGAAGAGACGCAAGGGAGCTAAAATGGCAGTACCGCATGTGCGGTTTGGGAGAGGAGCGGTTGCCGAGAATAGCTCGGGAGGCGAATTGGGCAAAAAGAAGAGGGTTAGACCAACCCACGGGGTTGGTCAAGGTTGTAGATGACGTATGGAAGGAGCTCGAAATTGACGAAGGTGATACGCTGGAAACGGAAGGTCTGGAGGGCTTCAGGGAGAAGCTATCGGTTGCTTTTGCCGCGAGAGAAGATCATAATCTAACCAAACCAAGGATGAGGAGGGTCTAGATGTGTACGGAATGTTGAAAAGAGGGCTCAAGCAGTACCTGCATGGACAATGGATGAAGGGACAAACCTGAAGGTCAAAAACAGGGCCGGGGGGCATTCCTTCGAGATTGTAGACGAAGATTTCGGGAGGTAGACGATCAAGACGACAAGTTCAAATGTGAACGCGGCTCCGAGTGCGAACACCGGGTTCATTTTGCTGCGGAATAACAGCGTACAAGCAGAGGGAAGCGTACATGGCTGAGCTGGGAAAATAGAAGGAGGATGCAGGGAGATGTTTGAGGCATAGAATAGCCAGAAGACGGTAGCTGTACTGGGGAATAGGAGTGGTTTGAAAAGGCAGGAAGTGATATCGATAGGATAGAAAGGCTTAGGAAAATGTTTTTGAGCCACCTTTGGCAAAGTAGGAAGGAACGATCGGCCATCGGCAGTCCTGTGGGAACCATGCTCCGTCCTCTCGAGGACGCGTGGTCAATGGTCTAACCGCTAAGGCATGCAAAACATTAGAGTACACACACACACCCAGGGTTCCGTCGGATCAAGCCCGAGGTTGATGCAACTCGCCGGGTATCAGCCGGCGGGGAGAACAGAACGCGTTCCGTTCATGTTCCGATCCTATGGGTGATGTTGGGAGTACCTTTGCATGCATGGCTATGATACTCCCCCCGCCGCCCCGCCGCGCGTTCGCAGTGGCTCCAGCAGCAGCAGCAGAAGCGGGGGTGATAGCAGGGACAGGAGGGACAGCAAGTCGCGGGAGCGAAGCAAGCCCAGAGACAGCGGCAGCGGCGGCGGTAGCAGCAGCAACGGACGCGAGTCCGGTGGAAAGGGGAGAGAAGCGAGCAGCAGCAGCGGCGGCGGTGGCAGGGACAGCGGCAGCACCCGGTGAGAGGGTGTCCCTTTTTTTTGTCGTTCTTTGGTAGTTGTTGCTGACCCATGCTAGCCGCAGTCGTTCGTGATGTTTTGGTTTTGTGGTGTGATGAGAGGTGTCTCGTCTGTTTACCTTGAGCGCGTCTGTCTTTGAGCGCGAACGTAGCTGTTCGTGGTGAAACGCTCAACGCCGCCGGACGTTGCGAGTAGGTGCCGACACCTGGAATGTCTCTTCTCCCACCCTGTACCCGTACATGGTTCTCTCTGAATAGATGTGTGTTTGTGTGATGCGCGTGTTATCCTTCGGCCTAGCCGCGGCGGCGGCGCTGTTGTCGTAACAGTGGTGGTGGTTGCTGTTGACGGGAAGAACCACGCAGCGTCAGAGTTGCGCCGTCGAGGAGGCAGAGCACGAGTTCACACTCCATCCAGATTGTTCCCCTCATGCTTGCATCCCTTGTATGCAGGCGAATCTAATTTGCCCACCAGCCCCGGTGTCCGGTTGTCTGACGGTGGACATGTCTAGACTGCTGCATAGCTCGACTGAGAGCAGATCGCCGTTTTTTTAACTTCCCTTGTTTGTGACTCCTGGAGTGTAACGGCACAATCCTGGAGATACATCACGGCACCCAAGCTAGCCAGCAAAGGGTTGGTCCCCTTTCGGGGGGGGGTCCGGTAAAAGAAAATTGTTCTTTTGGCGTCGATGGTCAGCGTTGTTGTTGTTGTTTTACCCGTGTGCAGTGTTTGAAGCCAAATCCAACAACTTGTTAGCTTGGGTTGGTTCCGGCCTACGAACGTGCCTCTACTGTACTACGATAAAGTACATAGAATCTCCTTGACGGGGTTACATTTGCGTCCACTTTCGGGAGTATCACAGACCTTCATTGCTAATAATGCAGGGAGCGTCGGAGTTCTGTCGGCAAGGAGTCGGAGGCGCACTCCTCCGGCAAACGTCCCCACTCGGCCTCCCCGTCGGCCACCTCTTCCTCGGACAGGGGGGGCAGGGACAAGGACCGAGGACGAGGTCGCGACAGGGAGCGTTCGAGGTGCGGTAGTGCTTGGCTTGCGTGTAGTGGTGGTGTTGGTTGGTTCCGCCGCGGTTCTTCGGGGGTTTCAAGTTTTGGAAGGACCACGTGATACGGGCACCGTGTTTGACGCAGTAGACAAGACAGGTAGAGCCCCCCCCACCCCCGACAATGTTAACAGTTGCACGTATCAGTGTCGAAAACGCCGTGTCCAATACACAGTACGATCTTTGCCAAAGACCCCGCGAAAAGTGCCTGTTTAGAGTGACATGCGGCACAGCGGAGGCGTTTCTCCCGAGAGTGTGGGCGGTACAGCGGATGCGTTTGGGGGCCGGGGTTGTCGCTGACGGTGCTGTTGAGTGAAAGTCTTGGCCTCGCCAAAGGCAGGTGGAGAGCGAGAGAGTTGTCGATGCCTATACGGGGGCGTGGCGGAGGCGGAGGCGGTGTTTTGCATTCAAGGATTGGTTGGTTGTCCTCGGCGTTATCGTCGAACTTACCGGCAGGATGGTGTCGACTCTCCCGTCCCCTCCCCTCCCCTCCCCCCCCCCC